GCCATCCTCACAATTGTTCTCTTCTTTGAGCCCACTCTTGCAGCCGCTGTGTCAATCCATCTTGTCGAGAGCCTTCCTCTTTTACCCTGCCCCTCCACTTGACCACGCACACTGTTCTTTCCCAGAGGCAGGTCTCCCCTGGTAGCAGGTTCAGCGTACGTGAGACAAAGTCTCCCAGGAGCACCCTGATACGCAGAGCTATTTTCAGAGCACCAGCGTGGGGTGCCTAGGTAAGCTCCCCAGGGGAGGGACAGCTGGGGCCAGGGGGCTGTCAGAGCCAGGGTGTGTCTAGCACACTTCTCAGCTTCCTGTCTGCTATCTTCAAGCACCCCGAACCAAGCCGGCTAGAAGGCCTCAAGGATTTCCCCATGTTTCAAAGTCCATCACAGAGCTAGCATGAAGCAGGTGAGAAAGAGAAGCGTCAGCATAGATTTTCATGAAAATGAAATAAAAGGCCTAAATTGTGGCCCCGAAGATTGGCAAGATAGGAACCAACCTTGAAGCTGGGTGACAGCACACTGGAATTCATTATACCATTCTCTCTACTTCCATGTATGGCGCCCTGGTGGTGTTATGGGCTAGGCGTTGGGCTGCTAATTTCAAGGTCAGGAGTTCAAAGCCACCAGCTACTTCACAGGAGAAAATGAGGCTGTCTGCTCCCATAAGGATTTACAGCCTTGAAAACTCTATCTAGGGTCTCTGTGAGTTAGATTAAACTTAGTTGGTGGGAATGGGTTTGAGTTTGTTTTTCTTTGTCAGTCTTTCCTACTTTGATGTATATTTGAAATTGTCCATGTGGAAACAGAAAACCTGCGTACACAAGGTTCCATATTCTTACTAAAATAGAGTTCTCCCGTGCAGAGCCGTGTGGAAGGATAACAGCAACGGCTAACACGTGGGCTGAGGGGAGGAGGGAGGGAGGTGGGAAAGGGTGGTTTGCTTTGGAGGTTTGTCTGTCCATCTGCCAGCCGTTGGTTTTGCCACGCAACCAGCCTACGTTATAAAAAGCTTTCTGTGAAAGGAAGCCGTCTCTGTGAACTCAGGCTTAAATGAAACAGTGGCTTTTCCTAGGCAAAAACCCTGCCTCGTAGAAACTGTCCTCCCAGCACCAGAACGCAAAGGCAAAATATTTGCTGAGGACCTCCTATGTGCCGGGGGCTGTTACCTCTGGCAGCATGTATAGAACTAGCCTCTTGTCCTCTAAGAATGTTTCACCAAAGGCGGGCTTCTGGGTTACAATGACACATCAAATCTTATCCTCTGCCCTCAGCGCAAGGGGAGTTCTGGGAAAGAAACTTGTTTAAAACACCTTGCCCTCCTGCTCATCCCCAAAACACCCCAAGAAAGCTCTCCACTGCCCTTGAGCTGGGGCTGGAGCCCCAGACGAGCTGGTGCACAGCTAAGAGAGGCAAAGCCGCTCACTCGGGAAGACTTGGTGTAAAGACTGCTAGCGTGTGGACATGCGTGTGCGCGCGGGTGCAAACCCACGTCCTCTGTCGTGCAAGACTTTCATTGCGGCCTGCAGAGAAAGGAGATGAAATGGGGGGGTCGTTAGGAGAAGAGGACACTGACAAAGGGCATGGCAGTATAGGGTTGCTGAGTCAGAACTGGCTTGATGGCCGTGTTCCTTTGGTTTTTTGAGTTTATAGAAACCTTAGCTATGGATGCCAAGGTCGTTTCTCACTCTTCCCGGGGCAGGTCCTGAGTTTGAAGGGGGGTCCCAGGAGCATGTACTCCAGCCAGAAGAATTGGAACCCGCGCCTGGATGCCCCTTCGCTAGAGACTAGCAGTCTTGCGGCCATGACTCCCAGCAAGATGTCCTGCGCTATCGCAGGACCACCGCCCTGTTGGCTGAGGCTCAAACAAGAGGCACTCCTCAAAGGCAGTGATGTGGAGAGAAAGAAGAGCCAGTCTAAGCTTTGACCTACCTACGCTCCCCGCTTCATGCCAGGTTGACCACTTAGAAGGTTCTCGTTGAAAAAACGCCATGATTTTGGCTCGCGGGAGGACCGACTGGAATGAAGCAGTTACCAGTCTGAAAAGTAAGCCAACACTGGGCAGTAAGGGAAATGAGGATAACGAGATGACTCCAGAGAGTTCATGGAAGAATTCCCATAGCTTTCTATTCCTTTGCCCAAGAATGTTGTGAAGCCCTCACACCTCACAGGTGAGGAAACTGGAGCGCAAGAAGTTAGCAAGTGACAAAGCCGGGTCTCTGAGCGGCGGTCTGGCTGCAGGGTAGGTGCCCTGAATCACGGGGCTGACTTCTTCTGCCGAAGGGGGTTCAGTGAGCTAGCTACCCAATGGCCCTAGGTGGGAAGGGCTACTACCCGGTTTCTCAGAGGGGAGGGAAGCTGAGTCTTTGAAGGATTACACAGTGTTGTGCCTGTTGTCTCCCAGAAGGTGGTTACTTACATTTATAATACGCAAACTGCAAATAATGATACATGGTGGCCACAAATTTCTCGACAGGATAGCCTCCGATCACCGGGGTGAGGTTGTCTTCACACTGCAGTTTGCAGTCCAGGACCTCCACGTAATGATCTGGAAGAGCACACACAGCGGTCAGCGCAGCGCCTCCATGCCTTCTGGGTGTCCCGCCTCCGGAGCAAGACAGACCAAGGTACAAGAAACACAGTGTGCGTCCTATGGAAATGTTCAGAAAACCCCAACCCGAGCTCACCACCGCTCGGTGCACACCAGCTCACAGTGAACCTGCACGACAGGGCACAACTGGCCCCTGTGAGGTTCTGAGGCTGTAACTCTTTACGAGAGTAGAAAGCCTCGTCTTTCTCCCACGGAGCGCCTGGTGGTTTTGAACTGCGGCCCTCTCGAACTGCAGCCCAACAAATAACCAGGCCGCCGCCAGAGTGCCATCAACAACACGGAGGCAACCCTCATACCAGCTATAGACTTGAGTCAATGAGACGATATCCAGAGTCGTCTGCTAGTGGTAACGTGTCTAACAATGCTGAAAGTTGTCCGTCGTAAATAGTTTTTTTGGTGTGTTTTTTTTAAGATGGTAAAATGTCCCTCTGTGGAAAAAAAGACTCCTAAAGAAACAAAAAAAGAAGGGGAAAACCCCTGGATTCAAGAAGTTTAAATGAACTTCCACACGGCAGGGTTTTTAAGTGCCTTTAACCAGTGAAGGGCACGGTGGCTTCCTGGGAGACAGAGCACAGCCCTTTCCCAAGCTCCTTTGGCCAGGATGCCCTTCCTAGGGGGTGCACTTCTAAGCCCGGCCTTCCCCTATCTGCTTTGGGAACCACCGCTGGCCACTGCCCATTTTCTGCAGTGACCCTCGCTACCAAAGCAAAGCCCCAGGGCAGTCAAGGGCATCTGTGCGTGCAGAGGCAGTGCAGAGGCAGGCGTCCGGCCTCTCCTCATTCTTCTTCCTGGGGGTTTCCAAACTTCCTAGAATGAGCACACATTGTTATGGTTTTGTTTTGTTTTTTTCCAAGTAACCTTCATGACAACTTATAAAGGTGCTTTATTCTATTCTACGAGTGTGTGTTGCAAAATCCCCATAATCATCATTGTCTCAGCAGTGACTCTGAGTCCCTGAGCTGCTCCTGTGCCTGTATTTCTAGGCTCCCGAGAGCCTGTGGGGAATCTGTCACCCAGCAGGCCCCCCTGCTCCAGCTTCTTGACCGGCCTGTGCTCCACAGTTCACTCGGCTCTTTCTCCAGCCGTCTCCGCTGAGCCGCAGGCTGAGCCGGGCAGGTGTCAGGGCTGGGCAGGTGTCAGCTCCCCTCGGTTACCCATTCAGATTGCGGCTCCGGGGGTGCTCTGAAGCCACTCAAGGCACAGGCAGGGAGGGCGTGGAGAGAGAGAGAGCAGGGGTACCAAGACGGCAGATTCAGCTATGCCCTGTCCCTGCAGGACCCACCTGCGATGGAGAGATAGAAATCCTTGAAGTCCCTGATCTCCCTGGAGCCTTCGCAGGCTGCGAGACACCCGTAGAAGGCTTTGAAGAAGTCGGGAAGGGCCAGCTCCATGTCCGTGACGGACGTTCTCCAGTTCTCGCCGTTGTACGCCCGCACCGCCCTGATGAACAGGCTCTGAAACGCAGGGAGGAGCACAGAGGGGATCCCCAGGGAATCAAGGCCTTCGCCCCGCTCCACTCTCCTTCGCGCTGAACAAACCACACTGGCCCTTGAGGGGGTGGGAAGTGAGTTGGTAACTTACCTTATCGGTCTCGATTTCCCTACCCTCGCAACGGGTCCTCTTTTTCTTCAGTTGTAATTAAAAATGTAGGTGGGTGTTTGGTGACAAAAGCAATTTAAATCATGGGACAGGCGAGACTCTAGAGTGAGGATCGGGTCCGGGTGTTTGCCAGGGGCCGAGCCCTGGCACAAGGAGCTGATTGCAAAGGGGCCCGAGGAAACGTTTTGGGGGAGACAAAAAAATGTTCTTTATCATGATTATGGCGGAAGTTAGATAACTATAGACCATAGGCTCCCAAACTTACTTGGCTTCTGCCTCTTTTCAGGAAAAGAAAAAAAATTACTCAGCACTCCCCTGGCGATTAAAAACGTTTGTACTATAGACACCCTTAATCCAGGACAGCAGTTCTCAACCTGTGGGTCGAGACACCTTTGGGGGTCGAACGACCCTTTCACAGGGGTCGCCCGATTCATCACAGTAACAAAATGACAGTGATGAAGTAGCAACAGAAATAATGTGATGGTTGGGGGGGGGAGGGGCGTGTCACCACCACATGAGGAACTGTATGAAAGGGTCGCGGCATGAGGAAGGTGGAGAACTGCTGGACTAGGATGAAGTGTAAGGGTCTTCTCTGCAGCCCCCTGCATCCTTCCAGCACTCTCCCCACCCCACCAGGGGCAGTGTCGCCCACTTTGGGAAACACCGAAGACCTTTTTCAAGATCCATCCAATCGGAAGATAATAAACGATAGCTCATCACAGCTGATTTTTAAAATGAATCCAGGAAAACGCAGACACTTGAGAACAGATGTCTGATACCCCTCCCTGCCCCATCCCCCCCTTACCTACACCAGCAGGGAGGTGTTAAACAGGTGGGGCTAGTGACGGGGGAGGAGGGGAGGGGGACGGAGAGTCAGGTGCCTGGCCAGTAGTGAAAACGTGAAAGCATTTCTGCTAGCTGTTGAATGGACCAGCTACCGGAGCAGTAATGAAGGGCCGATAAAGCACCTCGCTCGCTCAAGAAGGAAGCAGAGATTTGAGGATACACGTCAGAACTGGCCCACTTGGCAGGAAGCCCAGGGCTCTCCATGTGGGACTGCTTTCTGGCTACTCCATGATGGGGGGCGCTCAGAGATATTCCCTGGGACTAGTGATTTTCACCAGCTGAAAGGCCCTGATGTTCCCTCCTTTAAGCCCTTGCCGGAGAACCCCTGGTAGCATAGTGGATTATGCATTGGGCTGCTAGCCGCAGGGCCAGCGGTTGGGAACCACCAGCGCTCCAAGGTTTTCTACTCCCATAAAGAGACACAGTCTCAGAAACTCGCGGGGGCTGTTCTACCCTGCCCGAAAGGGTCGCTATGAGTCAGCATAGACTCGATGAGCAGTGAGTTTGGAAGTCCTTCCCTAACTCATCTCTGCGAGGTGCGGTTCTAGAATCCACACCTAAAGATCCCAAAGCTCCGGCCCTGGGAGAGACCAAGGGTTCAGCACCCCACAACTAGCCAAGAGGGTGACCGTGCAAGCCTACCCTGAGGACCCCCAGGATACTGGCCATCTGCTCTGGAAGGTGACCGCCTGGAACCGTCTCCTCTGCACACACGGGCTCCCGTGAGTCCAACAGCAACACAGCACCACCACCAACCAGTCTCTGGAGCGGGCAGCAAGCCCTGGAACCAGGGCAGGCAGAGAATGGAAGGCCCCTGCCCTGGGGGCTGGGCAGGCGGGTGGCTTCTCCAAGCAGCTGGCTGTGCAGAAGCAGCAAGGTGCTGGCAGTGGGAAGGAAGCCAAGCAGAGAATGGGAGCCCATGGGTGCACAGGAGAACAGTGCAGCCAGGCCCAGTGGGTTCTAGCCGACTTCCAGTTAAACACAGCACACTGGCCCGGTTAATTCGGCCCCGCGGCCCAAGCCTGCATAAGTAACAGTGAAGAAAGCAAAAAGGCATCAGAGGAGAGGAGAGAGCAACAGGCAAGAGATTCCAACAAAACAGGAAGTCAAGGTATCGCAAAGGAAGGTCCAGATAGAAGTGAGCTGGGTGCCCTGAACAGTCCCTACCAGGACCAGCGGGAGACACAGAACTGAAAGCAAGGCTCAAAGTCTGAAACTGGGCTGCTGGACTCTTAGGTTCCCTCTCTGTGCCCACCTGACCATCCAAGAGCTCACACCTTCCAAAGCCACCCCTTGCCAGAGGCATCCCCGCTCCCCGCCTCCCAAGAAGGCTGAGGAGTCAGCAGCCGGGCATAAGGGAGTTATGGAGCAGGAGGCTGAAGTCAGAGGGAGACTTCCAACTCAGCTGTGAGGCACCCCTTTCCCCGTCCCACTCTACAGACTAGCTCTCAGACACCAGAAGACAAGCCTGGAAACCCCACCCTCCCTGCCGATGATCAGAGAAGGGTCTCTAGAAATGAGACACTCTATCTGGGGACACCCCTCCCACACACCCCCGCCATGAAAAGGTGAGGACGTCACGTGAACACGCTGTGTGAACACACTACCGAGACTTGCAGTCACACCTTGGGCTCCGACAGCTCCTCACACACTGGCATCCAGAGCCAGCCCCACCTCGGCCATCCTTGGCCCCCCAGTGCCTACACTCAAAAGAACTAACAATAATAGAAAGTGCCCATAAGGGTTAAAAACCCAAACCCAACCCACTGCTGTCCAGTCAATTCCCACTGATCTCGATCCTGTGGGACAGAGTACAGCAGTCCCTACAGGGTTTCCAAGCCTGTCAATCTTGACAGAATCAAGCTTGCCACATCGTTTACCTACGGAGGGACAGGTGGGCCCCAACCACAGACCTCTGCTTAGCACTTTTAGCTCTTGAATCACTGCACCACCCATGGTTGATAAGAGTCGGAATTGACTGGAGGGCAACAGGCACTTCTAAGGGTTGGGTCCTTGATATTACTGTTACTGATGTTGACAGTATTGTCCGTCTTCATCAGAACTGTCCCTCGCAGACACACAGATTTCAATAACCCCCATTCTGTCAAGCGAGTTCCCCAGCTCCTCGATTCCCTTTCCACCTTAGTATATGTAATACGTGAGGCTGCAAGCATTTGAGGCTGCAAGCATTTGAGGTTGCAAGCATTTCCCAGTTCTATTCAAGATGGATGTTTCTGTTAGTTTCTTGTGTTCCTGGTTATTATTGATTAAACTGTGCCCCATCCTCCAAATTATGTATTGGAATTCTTATTTCTATACCTGTGAATCTTATTCTATACCTGAGAATGTAATCCTATTTGGAAATGTGTGTTCGTTGTTGTTAGGTTTGTTGGATAATACCCAAGTAGGGTGGGTCCTAAACCTAATCAATTCTGAGTTAGAAAAAGTACAGGCTAGATTCAGAGGCAACTGGGAAAGCACTGTGTGAGGACCTTCACCAGCTAAAGAATCAGAGAATGGCAGGGACTCCCTTCCAGGGAGGAATCAACAACCAAGGCCCTGCTCAGGACTCTGAGCCTCCAGGATTGTGAAAAAAGTAAGCCGCTGACTTGCGGTATTTCTATAACGGCAGCACTGCGTAATCAAGACACTGGCCATCCTGGGATGATTTCCAAGACACATCCTTGACTTGACTATCTGTTGTTGTTTTTTTACTATCTTAAGACTAAATGATCCAATGAGCATATTTCTAAAAGGTCCCATTGAAAAGGAATTGTGGCTTTAAAATAATCAGGTAGGAGCTCACACATGGATCAGTGTTGTGCACAGAATCTATCACTTCTATTCTTATAATATTCATAAAACGTCACAAAAATCACCGAGGCCCTTCGGTGCCAACAGCTGTGAACTGAGATATGTTTCTTTTCACATTGCAAGGAACCGCTGTGTAGAAAGGCCCTCCTACCTCGTACGGCTTGCTTTCCAAGTCTTTAATGTAATCCTCAGCATCGGGCAAGCTCTGGTAATACGCCATGTTTCTCTTCATCATCTCGTCATCGGGATGCTTCAGCAGAAAGGTGTGTGCGGCTGCGATGGCTTTCGGCAGATTATTTGCCTAAGTTCAAAGAAGAAAGAGCAGAGCCACTTAGTGGTCGCTGAGAAGCGATTGGTCAGAAACAAGACACTTCGGTTGGATCTTCCATAATTTCATGTTCGTGCACGATGTTTCTGGCGAGGCGTTCCTTGCCTCTCAGGACCACTCAAGAATGGTCCAGTCCCTCTGGACCAGTGTTTGTCCCTGAGGTTGGCTGGACAGTGTCTCTGTGCCTCCCCTGATCTCCCCTGGCTTCGACCTGCTCTGTGCCCCAGGGGGCTGGTCCGAGGGACGGAAACAACGGACTTCTTGCTCTCTGGTTTCCAACTAGGCTCACCCATGAGGAGCTCCACTAGCAGCCAGGAGGGAGGGTGGAGAGGGAAGGTGGGCTCTCAGTCTCCTGGCTCCCTCTCAGCACAGGCACCTCAGTCTGCTGTGTCCCTTAATGGAAGGCCACAGCTCCTCTTCCGATGGCCTTCTCCGTATACCGTGTTTCCCCGAAAGTAAGACACTGTCTTATATTTATTTTTCCTCAAGAAGACACACGATGGCTTCTTTTTGGGGGATGTCTTATTTTTATTAAGTACGGTACAACCATCTACATTGATTCAAATATAGTGAAGTCTTCTTCTTCTGGAACATGGACCCACGGTGCTGAGTCAAACGGCAGCCCCAGCTTTCCTCCTTCCCCACGAGGGACACGATACCTGAAGCAGAGCGCCCTGCCCCTCACTTCCCGGAGGGGACTGTTACTCTCACTGTCCATGTCTCCCTCTCGGCCTCAGCTTGCAGCACACACAGAACGGCGGGACCTGACAGGGGAGCCCACCTTGTGGATGGGCTGCCGCACCTCTCCGGTCCCCTCCGGGATAGCAGCTGTCACCACGGGGCAGGTGAGAAGGCCTGCCTGTCTTCGTGACCGCTCAGAGCCACGCCCGTCACTAGGTCTTATTTTCAGGGGATGGTTTATATTGCACAAATGCTTAGGAATCCTGTGCGACTTCTTCTATTTTCGGGGAAACACGGTACTCTCTCTCCCCCCAGGTGCCATGGCTCTCGTCCTTGCCCCTTTAGGCCTGTGGGATGATCGTCGCCCGTCCTCTATGGGGGTGCTGGTGGTTCCACGAAGCAGAGTGGGTTGGATTTCCCATCCCATCGACCTCCAGTGCAAGGAGTCCTGGTGGAGCTGTGGGGTAAGGGTTGGGCTGCTAACGGCAAGGTTGGCAGTTCAAACCCACCAGGCGCTCTGAGAAAGAGATGACAACTTCCGGCGATTCACCGTCCCCGAAACCCTCCACGGGCTTCTAGGAGTCAGAATGAACCGCTGGCTAGGGCTTGGGTGCAACCGCTGGCTTGGGCTTGGGCTTGGGTGGACCCACGCGTACCGACTACCGGGTCAGGGAAGACGTGGGTGTTACGATGATGCTGAACAGACGGCAGTGGAACACTCAGACCAACGCCGATGATGATGAGAGGGCTGGTGACCAGATCACAGAGGTCCAGCCCCATGGTGCACGGTGCCTCTGAGAGCCAGAAGCCGCATCCACGATGCTGACAACATGCCCACCACGACTGGCCCAGGAGACCCGCACGACTCGCTGTGGACCCTATACCCTGCAGACGCCTCTGTCCTTACACCCTCTAATCCACTTTCCCTAAAGTCCCCAGCACGACGGTCCACATCTTTTCTGCTGGAACCTGGACCGACCTCTTAGGGTTTTGCTACATCTTCTTCTGCTTACGTTTCCGTGACCTCACCTTCTCACTTCGTCCGTCCACTCAGCAAAGATTCACTGAGCACCTCCTCTCCGAGGGGGCTTCCAAAGTGACATTCTCTTTGCATTCCATTTTTTCCCCGAACTTTCTGAAGCCCCCTCGCAGGTAACAGCCCTGTTTCATAAAGCGAGTCTACGGTGATAAGCCAGAATCAGGAAGGAAATGAATAGTAAATCCCTGCCCTTCATAGAGTGCACATTCCAGTAAGTCTTCCCTGTCTCCCCCCAACCTCAAGTCCCAACCTGTCTTTTGCCGCCCCCCCCTCCAACCCAAGACCTGCTGTCCACGTTCCACACCCTGCTGCCTATCAATTAATGAGTCCATCTCTGCGCAGGCTCAACCGTAGACTATTCAGGTCCACATCCCTGGTGTCTGGCTGCACCTAGGGCAAGGCAGGGCACCGTAAGGATTGGTGACCCCCAACACAGGGCCATCATGGCTGCATGATACTTGGAGACATGCATTCGTTTGCACGGTGACCAGCTGGTGCTGAGCTTCACTGCTGACGGAGGTGGGTGTCAGGTCCGAATGCAGAAGTGACTCATAGGATAAATGCCCTGGTCTCTAAGGAAACTCAGCAGCTCTGCCAAGAGGGGGAAGTTGCTATAGGGAACTGCAGGAAGAAGCTGCCTGGCGTGGAAGAGGAAGAGGGAACAAGAGAAATCGCTTGGGGAAGAGTAGGAAAAGCTGTCCCTTGAGATGTGGACAAATAGCAGGTATGTGAGCCCTGGAGCTTCCGGGCCAGCAGGTGGCCTTGCAGGCAAAGCCCAGGTGGCCTTGCAGGCAAAGCCCAGGAGGGCGGAGGCCTCAGGCAGGAATGATGTGCTTTGCGATGGTCTCCATGAGCCAGGCGGACAAGGAGATGGAAGCCCCACTGTGCAGACACACTATCAATCACCAGGGGACCCCACGTTGAGACATGGGCTCTGCTCCCACACCCTACCCCGGGAGGCCCCTGGTCTCCCCGCACAGCTGGTAGGGAAGAGCAGGTGCAGACAGCCTTCTCAGCCCTCCCAGAGGGGCACTCAGAGCAGGAACTAGGGAGCCTGGCTGGGGGAGAGAGAATAAAGGGATAGTTGGTTTACTTGGGATTTTGGACACTCATCGGATTGCACATACTGGTACCCAATGACCCCAGAATTGGAGCCAAGTCCTAGGGGCAGCGTGGTGATGGCCCCATTGGAGAAGCAGTGGGTGGAGAGGACGGCAGACCCCAAGCGTCGGTGCTGATCCTCTGAGGATGCCCCAGTCAGAGGCTTGTGGAGGGACTGGGTTTGAGGGAAGTCTCCAGAGCCCTGGAAGAGTTCTACAGAGAACGCACCCTCACTGGCCGGAAGAGGCTGGTCTGGCAGTGCTAGGGAAGAGGTGTGGATGCGGGCTCTTCAATCATTTGTCAAGGAAATCAGATTTTCCGATTTCCAGAAATGGAGGGACACAGAGTTGCATTTTTACAGCCTCTAGCTTGGAATCTGAGCTTGAAAAGTATGGGACCTCTTCTGGGAGAGGTGATTTTGTCCATGTCGGCTCAGGCTCCGCCAACCAGGACACAGGGCCACATCTTGGTGGCTAGAACTCCCACAGAATGAATGCAGGTGGGCTTGGGGACTGGCGGGTGCCTCAGGGGCAGCCCCTTACACCAGAGGACCCCAGCTACCAGCCAAATGAGCCTCCCTTCAATCTGCTCACTGTGGTAGCAGGCCCTGTGGGCAGGGGGAGATCAGGTCCAGGTGGAGAAACGTGGAGGGCAGGGAGGGTATCTGAGAGCCAGTCCCACTCAACTCAGATTTGGTTAAGTGCCGGCCTGCTTTTGGCTTGGCCTGTGGGAAGATGTGTATTTCAAAGAAGATGGAAGCTAGGGAGAAACCCTTAGCTCTTTTCCCCCCAACAGTTTTATTGGCATATAATTCATCCATCATACAATTCAACAATTCAATCACATCAAGAAGAGGTGCACAATCTTCAAAACCCCCCAACGCTTGATGTGAAACCTAAAATGGGCTCATGGCTCGGGACTCATGGTGAGCTTACGGGCTAGCATTTCAATCCAGGGTAAGGTAAACAGAACATTCCAGTTGGAGGGTCAAGTCTGCCCAGGGCACTTTGAAAGAAAATCCTGATCGACTTCAGAAAAATCAGTCAATGAAAAACGCGATGGAGCACAGAGGAGCCAGAGATCATTCAACCAACCAGTTGAGATGATTGTTTTTTTATAAGTTCAAGCAAAACTCCTTGCCTGGGCCAGTCTGTATCCACTTTCTCTAGGCCCTGGTTCCACTCAGACTTTTTCCTTTACTCACTGAAATAAGAGCCTGCTTCACCCCGGCTTGTAAGGGTGACTCAGAAGGGTACAGTAATGTTTACCCCCATCCTGCAGCAGCATCCCCCGCATTTATCTCCAGCCTTTGTGTCCAGGTAGAATACCCATGCCTGGCCCCAGTTATTATCTCTCTACCTAAAAAGAGGGCTTGCAAACAAAAACATCACTGAGGTGAAAAATAAATAAACCATATATGATCACCACCTAAAATTATTTTCCTAGTGATATTTTCAGTTAAAGCAATTAAGGCATGAACATTCTGCCTTAGCAATAAAATTCTGCATTTTTCCCTAGTTGGGTGGATTAAATTCTATCCTCCCCCAAATATATATTGTGACGCCCTGGCCCAGTAAATGTGGATGTGATTTGAAAATTGGTTTTTCTTCTGTTTATGTTAATGAGGCCATGTCAGAGTGGAAAGGGTCCTAAACCTAATCACTTCCATATAATAAAAAGAGCAGAAGAGCCCGGACACACAGGGAACATGAGATGCTGAGGAAGGACCCATCTGCACGCAAAAGAATGCCGAGGTTTCCAGATGGCACCAGAAATCAGGAGCAAGGCCGAGGTTAGAAACTTACTTTGAACTATTAACCGCTGGAACTGTAAGAAAACAAGTCCCTGTTCTTTAAAGCCATCATCCTTGGTATTTCTGCTGTGGCAACACTAGATAACTAAGACATCTGTCCTATAAGAAAACAAAAACTAAACTCACTGCCACCGAGTCAGTCCTGCCTCATGACCCTACAGGACAAAGTACACCTGCCTCGGTAGGTCTGCAAGACTGTCAATCCTTACAGCAGTAGAAAGCCTCATCTCTCTCTTAAAGAGTCACTGGTGGTTTCAAACTGCTGTCTTTGGGGCTCACAGCCTAACGCATAACCCACTACGCCGCCAGAGACCCCAGAATATCAAGACAGATGGCATTTTCTAACTTGTAAGTAGGTGCTTGTCACAAGACCTACAAAGGGTTCATTTAGGAGAGAAGCATGCGGCTCAGAAGCCTCCTGAGGGGGTCATGTGAAAGGAGAGACCCATGTCATCTGGTCCCATCAGTAAACGTCCTTCTCCTCGTCCCTAAGTCACGAGTGCACGAAGGAAGTCAGACCTCCTTGTATCACCAGGTTTAAAAACGAAGTGTTCTTCTCCTTTAAGTCCCCACCCTTTATTTTTTTGCTTCGGTTTTGTTTCGGCTTTTTTTTTTTTAAGGCCCCCCCAAAAAGGGTTCCTTTAACCGGACGTTTTTTTCTTTTTCCATTTTGTTGTTCCGGTTTTTTTCTTGCAGTGGTACAACCATTGGCCCCCTCTCTCGTTAAAAATCTCATTATCCCATAAAGTGTCTCTCTAATTTCTCAAGTACGTATTGTGTACCTACATAGACTGGTGTTAAAATAGCATACTGCTCAGGCAGGCAGGCTAACTTTAAAACAATGTCAGGATACATTTGTGGGTGAAGAAAGATTTTCATATCATTCCAGGTAACTGAGTATTCTTCTTTGATAGAAACAGGATATTTTTAGCTTAACAAATAGTACCAGTAAGAACTAACCATCTTTTTTCTTTTTTTAATACCTTTTTTTAATACTTTTATTGGGGGCTCTTACATCTCTTATCACAATCCATACATTCCTCCAGTGTGTCAAGCACATATGCTGCCATCATCATTTTCAAAGCATTGTCTTCCCACTTGAGCCCCCAATATTAGCTCCCCATTTCTTTCCCCTTCCTCCCTCACAAACGATGTTATAGAGTATTTTTTCCATATCTTACACCATCCTCCGTCGTCTCTCACCCACTTTTCTGCCTTTCGTCCCCCTGGGAGGGGGTTATAGATTGATCCTTGTAATCAATTCCCCCTTTCTCCCCCCACTCTCCCCTAATCCTCCTGGTATCTCTACTCTACTTGTTGGCCCTGAGGGGTTTATCTATCCTGGATTCCCTGTGTTGCATGCTCTTATCTGTAGCAGTGTGCATGCTCTGGTCTAAGCCTATTTGTAAGGTAGAATTGCGGTCATAATAGTGGGGGGAAGGAAACACCAAAAAACTAGAGAAAAGTTGTGTTTCATCTGTGCTATACTGTCCAGACTGGCTAATCTCTTCCCTGTGACCCCTCTGTGAGGGGATGTCCAACTGTCTACAAATGGGCATCGGCTCTCCACTCCATGCCCTGGCCCCATTCACCTTGGGTATGGTTTTATTCTGGGTCTAAACATCCTTTTGTCAGTGTCCGGGAATTTTATTAATCTTAATCTCTTGCTCTATTCTAAATCTGCTTATTATTGCCAGGTGATTCACAAAACTGCTAAGTTTATATAAAACTAACCAAATATAGAAATAACCTAGTGTTCCTCCCATTGGAAGTTCTGTGTTACTTTATTGCTCATATGAATGTCACAGACACGTGGCTTGTCCTACAGGAACTATGAAAAACAGATCTTGAAGTCCAAGGACTAGAGGAAATTGTTTTTTGTGTGTCACAAATGATTTCAAGTCAGTTCCGATTTTACTTGTCCTCTTTTTATAACCATGCAGCCCAGTGTGGGTCTGATGGGTAAGATTGTGACCTTTCCTTTCTCTGTCTCAAATTCGTTTTTCCTTTTTATTTGTGTCTTTTTTTTTTTTCTTCCAAAAGCAAAGTTTTACAGAAGACTTCTATCTTCTGTCTTGGGCATACTAGGGATTTATTTCTGTAGTTATTAAAACGAATGCAATAGTTTCTTTTTGAAAAAGAACCGGGGCGGAGAATTCAGCAAGAGAAAGTAGAAACAGGGCCTTAAGAAGGCTCTCTTGACAAAACTCTGTGAAGACGCGCTAAGAGAAAGCCTTTTTATCCGGTAAAACAGGGAACTCAGTCCGTTCTTAAGCCTTGTGGATCCCCACAAAGGCTCCGAGGAAGGAGAACCGCAGTTATTTTTAGCCAGCAGTCACAGGCAGGATTTCCGCAGGAGGAGGAAGACATAAAAAGAAGCGAGACCACCGTGTTAAATAAATGCCTAGATGAAAGAGACGGTGGCGGTCGCAGACCCCGGTGGTCGTCTACAATTCTACCCGCTTCAGCTGGGCGGTGTCCTCCCAACTTGTCCCTGCCCTTCCCAGGTCTCAATTTCCTCCCCTCCTCGGAATAAAAGGGGCTAGGCTCCTTCCCGCCCTGTTAGAGCAAGTCACTGAGAAAAGGTTTTATTTGTGCTGTGTCCAGTGTTCTATGAGCATACTCTCTGCCTACGAACAACCCTTGAAGAACATTCTCGGCATCCCTATTTGAGATAAAGAAGGGAGGCAGAACTTGGGTGGGGGACAGCCAGGCTCAGCAGGAACCGTAGACCGCGCCCAGGGCGAGGGCGGGGCCCAGACAGTGGGCGGGGCCCAGGGCGAGGGCGGGGCCCCAGACCGTGGGCAGGGCCAGGACGGGGCGTGGCCCGGGGCGTGGGCGGGGCTGGTTACTGGGCGGGACCTGGGGCGGGGCCCAGTCGCGGGGCGGGGCCGACTTGCCTTGAAGTAGGCGAACTGCAGGAACTTGTAAGGCTCGCGGCGCTGGAAGTCGGCCAGGACCTCCCGGCTGGGCTGCGACTGGCGGAAAGCTGGCAGCCCCTGCTTGCAGCGCTTGAGGCAGTGCGCGCGGCGGAGCAGGCCCCCGAATATGCGCAGCTCGGGGTAGCGGGCGAGGCCGGCGGCGGGCTCGGGCTGGGGCGCCGTGCTGCAGTTGAGGTGGCAGAAGGCCTCGCTGTCGCGCAGCAGGCGGTGGAGCCGCAGGCTGATCTCCAGGTAGCCCACGCTCTCGGCCCAGCGCTCGCCGCTGTACTGGTCCAGCGCGTGGCGGTAGGCCGACTCGAGCGGCATCAGCTCGTCCCGCGGGAAGCTGCGGAAGCTGTAGCGCTCGTACTGGGCGCGCCCGCCGCGGAGCGCACAGCCCGCGCACAGGAGCGCCAGCAGCGCCGCCGCCGCCCCGCGCCTCGAGTCCATTGCGCCCGCCCGGCGGAAGGAAGGACGGACGGAAGGAAGGGAGCGAGAAGGAAAGGAAGGAGGACGGCGCAAAGCGCCCCGCAGATCGTCGGGAGGCGGGACGCCTGCCTCCGGCCCGCCCCGTCCGGCCTCTGCTCCCCACCCCGCTGGGGGTCCGGGCGCCGCTCCCTGCAGGGGGAGGGTGCCCAGGAAGGCGCGCTGCCGGCTGGTTTTCCCCTGGGAAAGGCGCGCTATCCGTGGATTCCTCCACTGTCCACTTCGCTTAGAGTTGGCTGTCTGCAAGCCAGACTCGGCTCTGATGGGTTATAGGTTAGCGCGGCTTCAAACTGAGTGTTGCAAGACTTGTGAAAATGCAGACTTCTCCGAGGTTTCTGATGCAGCGCATCTCGGTCAGAGCCTGAGAATTTGCCTTTCTGATCACCTGGTGCTGCCTTCCCATAGCCTACACTTTTACATCACAGCGGGAAAGATATTGCAGAAATATAATCAGTAAGGACGTCTGTGGCACAATTTAAAATCCAAATGGAAGACACGCCTCTGATTCCACTCTTCAGAAAATGCTTGGCCTGCTTGGCGCTTGTGCATCAAAGATATGAATGGAATGTTAAAGGCCGCCCTGTTTTAACTCATTCAGCTTTAGAAGTAATTTACAGAACGCCTGCAAGGACTGTACAAAGAACTCCCTCATAATCATCTAGATTCAAAAGTTGTCAACGTTAGTCCTCACCTTCTCATTTCTCTCTCTCTATTTATATTTTTATTTTGGAAGCACTTGAGAGTACAGTATGTAGGTTGCAAACATCAGGCCTCCTTACCCTCTACAATATGTATTGGACTTGTTAAAAAGCCTTTCACTGCACAATTCCATTGTCTTTTAATTCCATTTTTCCACGAACTTATTTTTTCCTCAACAGTTTTATTGGCACATGATTTACCTATCTTACGATTCAGTAGTTCAAGCATATCAAGAAGAATTGTACAATCATTACCACATCAGATTTAGGGCATTCCCCATGGTTAAGTTTCCTTTAAAATGAGTGGTGCGATCACAATCTGTTCTAGTGCTCCCTTCCCCCTCCTGCGTTCATTATTTACTCCCCAAATCCCCTTTCCTTCCCCATCACCCCGCCTCCCCTACATCCTCTTGTATGAGTTATTATAATTATGCACCCACACCTGTGCTTCACAGCTGGGAAACCCAACAGAAAACAATAAAAAATTGCACTAAGGTGGTAAGAAGAAAATCATAATAGTATAAAGACAAAAATAGAGAACAATGTGTAAGAAGGAAAAGACCCCCATCAACATTCAAAAAGCCAGGGAAGAAATTCCTGTCGTGGGACAAGTAAGATCCTTGCACCCAGAACAAATACAGGTCCCGTCCGCAGGGTGGTCACCTGCCAAGTATCTCGGACGATCCAGCATTCCATGAATTCTGAAGCCCCTTCGTATGTCCTAAGGATGTAACCAGGGAAGAATCATCAAATTCAGAAATTTCACATTGATAGAAGACTAATCTACCTTCCTTAGGACAATTTTGTCAGGTGTCCCAGTGTTTGTGATAGCACCTCTTTCTGGGGAAGACTCCTCCAGGATCGCATCTTGCATTTAGTTGTGTATCCCCTTGTTGCTAGTAGATACTGTGGAATTGGCTCAGATCCATGGCCACCTCATGTAGAACAGAGGCAAACGCAGCCTGCCTTGTGCTGGCGTGCCCCTGCCCAGTGTTGTTGCTAATGGGGCTTTCATCCTCCAGACCTAACATGTTCTAGAGCCTGCACTGCTCCTCAGCTTGGCTAGCCTTTCCCACCTTTGACGTTGGGAGGAATATACAGGTTTTATACACTGTCCCTTAATTTGGCTTCCTCTGATAATTCCTCCTGATTAAATTCTTGCCTGGAACACCTCAGGTGTCACACCCAGAAGCACGCAGTGCCTGCCCCTTCTCCGTGACCTTCATTGAGATGCCGTTGATAACTTGGTGACCATTTCTTCCACTTCACTTTTCTGCTGCAGTTAATACTTGTTGATGTGGCCCACCAAGCCCCAGAGCAGCCAATGCACAGAGAGGAAGGACCATAGGGCCCGCCCAACCACCAGACACGACGTCCCTCATTGACCCATAGTGCTATGGGGAACAATGCTGGGGACACAGTGCAGGAATTGTGCCCAATCTGACCCCACCACACGGGGGCGAAACACTACGGGCATCCCACGGAGCAGCAAGGGGAGCAAAGCAATGAAGTCCCCAGGGAATACTAAAAAATAGACTTTGGAGCCAGAGTGTGGCACCCCCATCAGACTCAACCAGAAAATACTCCTAAAGGTCAACAAACACACCTGGAACTATTTATAGGCTTTTATTTTTTTGTTGGTTTTGTTTTGCTTTGTCTTGTTTTTGTGCTTATTATGTCTATATTGTCTCTGCATGTCTACTCAGATAAGATAGGTGGGATGAACAATCTGAAGGAGATAACAACGGGACTGACAGTTGGGAGCGAGAGGCTGGGAGGGAAGGAAAGGGGTGTCAACCAACCCAGGCACAAGAGAACAAGTGATCTAAAATTGATGGTGAGGAGGGTGTAGGATGCCTGGTGGGGCTTGATCAAGGGCAATGTAGCTGAGAGGAAATCCAAATGAAGGCCGAACATGATAGTGGGACAAGAGGAAAGTAAAAAGAAATAGAGCAGCGGTTCTCAACCTGTCGGTTGTGATCCCATTTGGGGGTCAAATGACCCTTTCACAGGGGTCACCCAATTCATAACAGTATCAAAATTATAGTTATGAAGTAGCAGTGAAAATCATTTTATGGTTGGGGGTCACCACAACATGAGGAACTGTATTAAAGGGTCATGGCATTAGGAAGGTTGAGAATCACTGAAACAGAGGAAAGATCTAGGAGACAAAGGACATTTACAGAGGTCTAAATACAGGTATGTACATATGTAAATATAACGATAGGGAAATAGATCTAGGTACATATATTTATATGTTAAGTATTAAGGTAGCAGACAGACATTGGGCCTCTACTCAAGTATTCCCTCAATGCAAGAACATTGTGTTCTAATAACCTGGCATTCTGTGATGCTCACCGTCCCGACACAATCACTGAAGACAAAATGGGAGCATAAGCAAATGTGGTGAAGAAAGTTGATGGTGCCCGGCTATCAAAAGATAA